AAGCTTTGCAAATAAGTTTTTCTTATTCTAGATTTTAAAAACTTGCAAAGATAATTCAATTACTGTTTCTCTAACACTCATATTAAACATACCTTTTAATAGCAAAGTATAAAAATGAATTTTGCATTTCAGCAGCTTACAGTCCAGACAAATTCATCTGAAAGTCGAATGTATCCCAATAATTTTGGAAAAGTCGGTATACAGTGTTGTTACATATGTAAAAAATCAACCATCCATTTTTTCAAACTATCTACATATTTATTACCAATTGAAAGGGAACTGGTATCTAAACAACTTTTCTTCAGAAATCTTTCATTTTGGAATACATTTAGCTTTCCATAAACTAATATTTTCAAATATCAGAACAGCAATAGCAAAGGTGCAAAGAAACCATCTATGTGGAAACAGAATAAAACAGAAACAAGAATGAGGTCATATGGGAGAAAATAACAATTTGAATATTTCCCCTGTGCCAAAAGCAGCACTTCAATCAAGGGACACTTTACTGCAGGAGCTGAGACAATGCAATTAAACACACTTAACCAAAGACAGCAGAAAAGGCGCTGCAGAAGTCAAGTAATTTGTGCATATAAACAGATTTTGAGAAGAGAAGAAAAAACTTACTCAACCTAAAACCAAATATACATTTAGCTAAACGTCTGGCTTTCTAAAGTAAATGGAAAAAATGGGGATAAAGTTTACAGAGCACAATGTGTAAGTGATTGTGAAGCACTGAAACTAAAAAAATATGAGATGTGAGTATGAAAAGAAAATTGACTGTAACAGATTTAATTGCTGTCAGATCAAAAATATCAAGTAAATTTTTAGTTTTTAAATGGAGCATGTGGCATCTAAAGGAGGAAAAATATTATCTGTGGAACTTGTAGGCTTCTTAACTTTTCTAGCATAGAAAATAAAAGCACTGGAGAGTAAAAGAAAGTTAATTTTGTTTGATTAACAATCAAGCTATCCTTCTCAATTTCTAGCAGTTGCTTTTGATCTGACTGGCTAGTTCCAACCAAACCTGGCAGAAAAAAAAGTATGTTTTGGTCACAGCTCTGTGCAGGAAAAGGGAAAACGGGACATTCCTACATGGTGCCCCATGGAGACAGAAGCTTCAGTGACTGTTCAGTCATCACTATGGCTGCTTGGTCGCCTGTCAATAGACCATAAGTGATCCAAACCCTGTGCTGCCTCTTGCTCTGGCATCATTTATAATGCCTAGGATGAAAGAAGGCTTACCACTAAGTTACACGGAAAAAAAAAAAAAAAAATCAAAAAAGGAGACCAGATATTATACTTCACTTTTTGAGAAACAGCTTATGCTTTACTAATATGTATACACAACAACAACAACAAAAAAAAGCTTTGTTTTTCTTTGTACTTTACAAACAAAACAAAACAAAACAAATCCCAAACCCCAAAAACATTAAGTCAGCAAAAAATGAAAATCACACACCACTTTCACCTGGCTTCACTCACTGGCTAAGATGGTACCATTCAATTAATATGTTTAATATTTTTTTCATCTCAAAAGATGGACTAAGGTTTAATTTACTACAACTTATTTAAATTTTACACTGAGGATGGTAATTGCTACTTTCCAATGAGCATCTGCATCTTGTTCCTGGACTCAGTACAAGTGCTTTCTCACTAGTAATGACTCTATTCTCACAGTATTCTCTCAATAAACAGCTCTGTTATTCCATTTTACAAACTGAAAATAGAGGTGCAGAGAGATTACTAAACAATGACCATCAGTTTTGATGCAATTAAGGTCAACTTTTTTCCAAATATTGCAGAGCAGACAGAGCTACTTGGGTTTGAAACAGCTCCCCTTGAGTTGGTAAAAACTATGAGTGCTAGTCACTTTTGCAGGTCAAATTCTATAACCTCACATCATGAAATATGATATCTGTATGACATGAAACATACATAATCATAAACAGATTTTATAACACCAACAGAAGAACAGCACTGAAATCCTTTGAACTCCAGCACAGTAGAGTAGCACAGGGTTTCCCCAAATTTAACTCTACTTGAACCCACTTTCTTTTTAAGAAATGCAGGAGGGGAAATGCCCACGAAAAAATACTCAGTGATAAGCAGCTATTTATGTGTAGTAATGCATTCCAACGATTAATTAGTCCAGTAAGAACACACCCATTATTTGAAGTCTGAACTTGCTTAATTCACCTTCCAGCCACAGAACTGTGGTACACCTGTGTCAGCTGAAGAGAAGCTTTTATCAAATACCTCTTTGCCAAGTAGGTGCACACTGACTAATGAAGAAGCCCTTAACATTTCCTTAGCTAAGCTAAACAAAGTAAGCACCTTATGTCTTCATTACTAAGACCGTTCTCCCCCAGCCATTTTCAAGACTGTTCTCTGGAAGCTGTTTTTCACCATCCTTCCTGGACTGTCAGCACCAGATGTACTGCTCCAGTAACAGTTATAGCTGATACCTCCTAATTGTCAATTCCCTTGCTCAACTACTCAAAATTTTTTACTAGACCTTTAGCTACAGCCAAAAGGATTGACTTCAAGTTCAAATCCAAATCCTATCATTCGTCAACTCCAAACTTGTTGCCCAACTTAGTATTTAGTTGCACTGATTCTGCTAGGAAGTTATGTGTCCCATTTATTAATTATCTAAATCACTTTGCGACCTTACTAATGTTCTTAGTCCCAAATTTATGATTTTCTAGGTAGGTAAAAACATCTGAAATAATTCCAACACAGTTATTTACAATGAGAACCTCTGAGACCGTTGCAATGTATGCAACAGCAGACTGATTTGTAGTATGCACCAACATCTGCAGATGCATAACACTCTGACATTGGATTTTGCACGTTAGTCATACACAGCCTTACTTAGGGATCCACGTTTGCAAGAGCACAAATCTCTAGCCAAGGCCCTCCTAGAATTCTCAACTAATAGGACTTAGATTTTATTTTGTAACATAAAATTTAGCAAATCTTTAAAATACTCCAGAACCAACCAACAAGTAACGTTTATTAAAGATGATGATAAATGAAAACAGAATTGGGTTTTCATTGAAAAAATTGATAAATCTAATCAACAGGTGCTTTAAAAATATACAAGCTTTCCATCTGTGTATTTACATGTCATTATACAGCTCTATAAAGATTTTATTTAAAAGGCAAGACCTTTCAGGAACCAGTTCAAAAAGATGAAGGCTGTGACCACAGCACAAGTTCTCGCCCAAAATTCCAGAACTCCTTACCAAAGTGTTCACAGTCAAAAACAGTAACAGACCAGCACATCAGGTACTGCAGACGTCTTAAAGCAAACATATCAGCTCTAACATAATGGAAGCCTCTAGATGTTAAAGGTTTATTTTCTTCTTACATGGGGAAAATCAGGATCACAGTCTTAGGCTACTCCATACTGTCCAGTTTTAAGACTTTTGTGCATATCAACGCCGTCACTCTGACTAAGCAGGACAGCAGCCTGAACTGTCAGACATTCAAAGCCAGCTCACCTTCACCATTTCAGTGAAGGTGGAGGGAGGGGCAGGGGCTGTCTAAAGGAGAAGACAATACAGAAATAGAGAAAAAATAGTATCTTCTCATAAAATTTCTCCCCTTTTTCAAAGCGCTGCTTAATATTTTCTCAAAACATCAGAGGGCACATACTTACACACAACTTCTTCCTGGCTTTTTAAAGCACTGACTAGGAAGCTATCTTTTGTTCCTGAACCTTAAAGGCACTTACACAGGGTTTAATCTTCATCAAAAGTCTTTAGAAATCACATGGCAGAAGGAAATCTATTCCTCTTAAATTACATCAGCCAGTTCCACACCTCCTATTACTGGTGTCATAGTTTCTGTGACCTCAGGAGTGTCAGAGTGAAAAGGCCCTACTAGTCTTACTCACATTCTTACCTCAGTTTCTCTCTTACACTGGAGTGATGAGTAGGTTACCCATACTAGGAATTACTTTCAAGAGTTGAGTTTCAATGGCATCCTTTGATATGACCCTTCATGCATGAACACACACACAAGAACATTTATACAGTCTAAAGCACTTTTCAATCAGTTCTACCCAGTCCCTGCCCCCTGGGTGTCCATGTCTTCCTTCTTATTTTATGGGCAAATCCACAAACAAGGATTTCCTGAGCTGTTATCCTCCCTTCTGCATAAATTAGCACACATTATCAGCCACAAAAGGAATTTAAGGTGTTCCAGAGTATTAGGCCTTTTGAGATTCTATTAACTTGAGTAAAGGGGACAGACACAAAAAAAGATCTTCAACTAGCCAGGGTATGGACTAGTTAGAGTGACATTGCAATAGAAGGGAACCATCAGGGTTAAACAATATTTAATGGCAACAAAATAAAATATAATATTCAAGAAAAACAAACAAACAAAAAACAAAGCACTGAAGCAGCTGGAGAATCTTGTCCCTTATTTGAATTCCTAAATAAAAAAAAAACAAACAACAAAACCCCACACACAAAAAACCAAGAAGCAAAACAGTTCCTGTTCTTCCATTTCCCAACTATTTTTCAACTGGTACCTGGCAGAGACTGAAATGGTTAATGATTTATGCATTCTAGGATTGCCAGGAGACTTTTGCAGGCTTTTGGAGGACTTTTGCATTATACCTATGATGCATTTTCCCTTAAGGTTATCTTTATGCCATATTGCTATAAGTGCTAGGTATAGATGATAACACCCAAAACGCTAACGTACCTGTTTACCTTTGACACAAAATTGTTCTAAAATAAACCCTACATATATATGTCTTCAAACATGGATTTTCAGTGTCGTTTCACTCTAATCCACCCCAAAGGATTTATTAAGAAGAACCTGGGTAACCCCCCCACTTTTCTGGGGCAGGTTGTAACAGTACCTGCTTGAAGATTTCTGCTAGAGTAATTTTCTGGTTTTCATCTTCCTGTCATTTTCATTCTTTTCCAATTTTATGACTTCATAGTCTAAGGTAAAAACTTAAGCAAGGAGGAAGAACTTACTGGTATTGAGAACTCCTCTGCCAAATACTTCAACACTGATGCTCCTCTAGTCAAAAAGTTACTTCTCTCTGCCAGATTGCCTTGAAGTTTTGTGTCAAACTCCTTTCTGACAACTGAAGCAACGGAGTCAATTATTATGAGTTTTACTTTCTTTGAAATAATTTCTTCTTCCAAAGACATAATCCTAAAAAAAGAAAAAAAGAAAGTCACTGATAGCATTACTTACACAATAGAACCATTTTATAACTCTGAAATTGTTTAAATAAAAGGATTCCTCTAATAAGCTGAATTTTTCCTCTTGAATTTTCTGAAGCTTCTTTTTCCCTCCTCACACACCACCTCCATTAACATCTACATGTATTGAAGAGATTTGGAAAGGAATCTGAGGCTCACTGGTCCACATAACTCAAGGTAGAATCTCTCCAAAAGAGAGGATTTGGAAGAATCTCTAGTTAGCAAGACTATGCTGTGCCACCCTTGAATGGCAGATGGCAAGTAAAGTGGACATGGAAACTGTGCTTTTTAGCTCACAGTAGATGCATCCCATGGTCCACTCCAGATTCCTTAGTGTCTATGTATGCAGAAGGTCAAATACATTTCTGCATACCTCCAAACTTAATTTGTTAATAAGGATGGATGCCATCCAGAGGGACCTGGACAAACTTGAGAAGTGGGCCTGTGAGAACCTAACAAAGTTAAACAAGTCCAAGTGCAAGGAGCTGCACCTGGATCAGGGTGTTCCCAGAGACGAGTACAGACTGGAAGAAAGTGTAATTGAGAGCAGCTCTGCAGAGGACTTGGAGGTCTGCAGACAAAAAGCCGGGCATGAGCCGGCAGTGTGCGCCTGCAGCACAGAAGGCCAACCATATCCTGGGTTGCAGTGAGAGGTGTGGCCAGCAGGTCAAGGAAGGTGGTTCTCCCCCTCTACTCTGCTCTCATGAGACCCCACCTAGAGTACTGCATTCAGTTCTGGGGTCCTCACAAGAAAGACATGGACCAGAGGAAGTCCTCAGGAGAAGGGCTACAGTGATGAGCACATCTCCTACAAAGACATCCTGAGAGAGCTGGGGCTTCTTCAGCCTGGAGAGAAAGTGACTCCAGGGAGACCTCACTGCAGCCTTCCAGTACTTTAAGGGAGCTTATAAATAAGAGGCAGAGTGACTTTTTACATGAGCAGGTAGTGATAGGACAAGGGGAAATGATTTTAAACTAAAAGAAGAGAGATTTAGATTAGTTATTAGGAAGAAATTCTTTACTCAGAGGGTAGTGAGGCACTGGCACAGCTTGCCCAGAAAAGTTGTGGATGGCCCATGCCTGGAAGTGTTCAAGGCCAGGCTGGATGAGACCCTGAGCAACCTGATCTAGTGGGTGGTGTTCCTCACCATTGTAGGGGGTTGGAACTAGATGATCTTTAAGGTACCTTTCAACCCAAGACATTCCATGTTTCTACAATATGCTACTAGCTGTTCTCTGATAAAGCTGCATCAGAAGATAAAAGTATCCTTAGAATAATTCTCTCACTAACATAAAACACATAGTATGATGTTAAAATATAAATCAATTTTCATTGCAAAATATGTTCACAAATTAACATAAGGTGACAGCATGACAATACAACACTGCCAACAACAAGATTCATGCTGATGACTCTTAAACAATTCCTTCCTCCCACTGCTGGAAGGGTTCCTGTCTTTCTGGAAGGAAACTGTGCTTTGGAGGAACAAGACCCTCTTCGATGGACAATACAACTCTTATACTATGGTCCCTCCACAATCCAAGAGACAACCTGTCTCATGAACATCCCCTTTAAAGGCTTACGGGGATCAGATGACACAGAAATTGTCTACCAGAAATTTAAAAACATCAACCAGATTAGTCACATGCTATGAAATGAAAAGAGCAATGTCAATCTTTCTGCAGTGCTACTTTGCTGGAGACCATGCTGTTATCCACATGAAAAGGTCTCAAATAAATTAATTACTCTTCATAAAACTTCGATATAAAACAAATATTATTATAGACAATCAAGTCAAAGTGGTGTTGTATTTTTATTTTAAACTCTGGAAAAGAATACCTCTGTAGTACACTGCAACAGGTCAGTTCTCGATAGAGGTGAATGCTACGGGTCATGCAGAACACCTTTTCATCCGAGTCAAAATAATCAGGGAATCTGTTTCCTGCAATCTCAATCAACCTATTAAAAAAAAAAAAAAGCAAAACCAGAAGGTATATCACAGCAAAAAGAATAATGTAGGATAATAAGTCATCAAATATTCATGAAGCAAACACAGCAAACCTCTGAACCATAAGCAGATACCAAGTAATACTGGAAAGCTTTTAAAAAGGAAAAGCATACTTTATCAGTCAGACTGAAATACTGGAAGTCAGAACAGTTATGTTCTCTTCTCAGTGATGCTCAGTCAGTGGTACACAAGGGAAAGACATAATGTGTCTGTAAACAAAGAAAGAGAATATCTCCTCTAGAAGGAAACTGCAAAGTTTTTACTCAATGCAAGGTTCTTCAAATTTTATACAAGAGGTTTCACTCAATGATCAAACATTCTCCTATTCTAATTATTGTATCTAAATACTATTTTCATTTAAACAATAGTAGTCTCCAACTCAAACTCTTCCCTTTCACCTTTATCTTGTGGTGAAATCATAAAGTGTCACCACAGAAATTTAACAAGTTAAGAAACAGAAGATCCAGCCAACATAGAAGCAGGACTGCAAAGAACAGAGCCCAGTTCGACTTCAAGTACTTATGCAAGCAGTACATATATGGAAAGTTTATCTGACAAAGTGAAAACCTTTTCACAGATAATCTCTCCTTAAAAACACAAATAAGGTCATTTGGATGGGTGACTGTTTCTGTTTTACCAGTTACCTATTTGTAAAAATGGCTTATAAAATGTTACGAAAATCCACTTTTTAGAACATTGTGAAAAAAACAGAAACCAAACAGCATTGTGTCACAAAGTGACTGAGGCTCCAGCTGCCCGGCAACTACAACTGAACATCTATCCATTCAGATACCACAGGTACAAATGGCATGACTTGATACAACAAAATTACTAGAGCATTTAAGTGTCCGCTTTACTGATAGAACTGAATGTGGAATTCCATGATTAAATTTTCTCCATTACCTTATTAGCAAATTCATAAGCCTTCAAAACCTTGAATTACAGTTGCTAAGCATACCACTGTTTATTATCAGAGTAGACTAAAGAAGCATATCATATAACTGGTGATAACACTGCAAGAAGTTAGAGGAAGTTGGATTTTTTTTGTTTATTTGTTGTCAAAATACTTTCATATTCAGAAATTATGACTTGAAAAAATCTCATAGATGTCAAACTAAACAATTTGCAGTTAAATTATATTTTATACACAAAATCATTGAGGAAACTAAACGGTATGCATTCTAGAAATGCTGACTACCTACAAACCCTACAAAGCCATTGGAAAGAAGTTCTACTCCTCTGAACACAAGGCAATTTTATCTAGGTCCTTAAAGAGATGATCCAAGAATTTAACTTTGAAAATCACAGTTATAATCTGCACACTGAATTTTTTTTCCATAATGAAAGTTTTATTTTGTAATAACAGAAAATGCTTAATTGTTTGTATTTTAAGCAGACATATCCCACTTATATCCCTTATCCCATCATATAGCTTGAGTGGCTTCTAGTGAATTATACTTGTGGGCACAACTTACTGTTATTATCTCAATGCTTTTGATTTAGACCCCTTTCATTAAAATATGTAATGTTAAAGCTATTTTAGGAAAAAAAAATTAAAATCCATTTTATTTGGTTTAAAAATAGAAGCACTAAGCTTGAGTGTTAAGATACCTACCCTGAGCAAACAATTTAATTTTAGTAGCCTGATCCTCATTCATTAAATACATTACTTATTACACATAAACTTGTCCTGTAGAACTTCCAGAGACAGAATTTTGTCTGCCCACCTGCACAATTAATTATGCAGATCATTTGGGCAACACTGAGCCGCCATTCAACAGCCTGCAGGAAATGAGATTTCACTGTGCTTTCTAACGAGCACGCACATCACAAAGAACATCGTTATACTGAACAACATAAAGCGATACACGAAAATCTTGCCAAGATTGCAGCACTACTCTTAAGAGTTCCAGGTGGGTTCAAAGTTCTTTAATATCTAAATCCTGTTTGCCATGATGAGACCAAAATCTCCACAGAACATGTTTTCTGCAATCAGGGCAGATCCATTATGTATCCAGATAATCTGTTCCCAGCTTTGGTTCACAGAAATTTGTACCTAGTGTTTTTCACAAGCAATAAGTATGACTAGCAAAAAAAGCCAACCTAACAAATTCTTTTCAGACTTTCTGAGTACGTCTGGTATGTTTTCAGTTAATAGCTGGCTACTACAAAACTGATGACAACAATTTTGATTTCCAGACTTACTACAGCTCATTCCAAACAACAGGGAAAAAGGAATAGAAATTTCAAAAAATATTAAATCCTCATTGTTTAGAAAAGTTGGTAGTTAAGTAAAGTAAATTAGAGCTACCTTTAATGAAACACTGCAGGATTATTTCAACAGTTAATCACTCAGTCAACATGGGGAAGAGTGGCAACCAATACATGCATACATCTGTTCTCTCAAGCAAATACAGCACATAGTGTCTCCTGTCCATTCAGAACACTGTAAGTACACAGCTGAGCAGTTTCAGTCACATGGGCCAAGCAGGAGACATTAGAAAAATCAGAGATGTTATAGAGGTAAGGTAGTACAGTAATGTACAGCTGCTAAGGATATAGGAAAAATGTGAGCTCACTCAGAAGGAAACCAGAAGTGCAGAAGGACACAGGGTCCCACTCAGAAGTAGGAAAGAAATCTGAAGGAAAACTAGCTATGTCAGTCCTACTGTTCACCAAAAAATCTCTGTTTCCTTTGTAGTCAAACTGAGGGGCCTTTATATCCTCAAAACCTTCCCCTTAACTCCACAAACTAAATTGCAAAGAAAGATTTCAGGTACAAGACTGATAATAACATCTATAAATTGAAGAGCATGCCACCCACCTTGCCATGCCAAAAACTGCAACATCATTCAAATTAGGAAGGTGAGCAAACCATTCTATTAAATTAATTTCAACATCTATGGAATAACTGCATATATCAGAGGAATGGTTAATAACTACCACAGGTATCTAAAAATGCATCATTATTGCTCAGAAAATAATTGAAGGCTCCAAGATAAAAGGTCCTAAGAAGTGTATACTTTAGATTTTTGCATCTTACCTTTCAGCACTGAATGCAGACTCTGTGTCAATGTATATAACTGCCCCATCTAGTCCTCCCATGCTTAGAGGCAGTGTAGCCAGAACACTCAGCATAATACAAAATTGAGTTTTGCCACAACCTGGTGGGCTAGTTATCTGGAAGAAAAAAAGATTAGTAACATAACATTCATTTTACATAATTGTACTTTTATCTTCAACCCATCAGACCGTATTCAAATTTTGCTCCTTCAGCTACCACAGGAGGAGACAGACATGAAAAGACAGAATGCAACCCAGAAAGAGCAACTTTGAGTTACTGCTTTGCAGTCAGACTCATCCACTGAAGAATAAACAGCTTTACAGACCCAGCATTATGCTTGCACTTCATTTTTTTTTACATCATTATTACTTTTCAAATTTGTGGTCCTCTACTCTCTCCCTCACTCACAAGATCTTCCCTAGAGACACCTAGTTCTCTTCCATCCCTGTGCTACCTTCTAAAATAGAGAAGAATTAGACGATTCACAGTTGACATTCACGTGTCACCAACAGCCTTTAGAGCTGAAAACAAAGTCCAGAGCTAATGAGCTCACAGATGTAAATGACTGCTTAGGAATCATCACTACTTTGGTTAAACCAGGTCTCCCTTGGAAATCACAAGGATAATTGCTTATATCCTGTAAAGACTGAATGTTCAGTGTGAACCATAGATATACAAAGAACACATTTTATCTGCCCCAGAGACTACACTCTGCTCTGTAATATGTATTCTTTCATTGGTGTTAACTCCCTATTACCATATTTCAACACCAACACCATTCAGTGATCCAGACCAGCTTGCCAATTCTAAGCTTTCACCTGTGCTCACTGAAAGCCCCCTGTGGTTAAGGTTCCAGTACGATTTTGATTGAGAGAAAAACCACAGGGATCCAAAGAATACATTGTTTGATGAGATCACCAGTTTCTGAGAACAATATTTTTCTACTAGAGATGGCAGTCTGCTGTTCTTTATCCACTGTAGATTTTGCAGAGATTGTAAATGAATGCTGGGCTCTGTGTTCAGATAATTGTAAGTTCATTACTACTATGGCGAGTCTTTAAATACAATCCCACATTGTAACTGCTTCTGGGAAGAGAGATGATGAAATCTTAAATACTAAGAGGGCTGAAAAACAGCTGAGTGACTTTAGGTACTAGAAACAGAGCGATGGGTTCATTCTGATGCTAGTAGGTAAAAGCAAGCCTCTCCAGGGAAATTAAACTCCAAAATGAAGCATACCTCCTCAAAACACCTAGTATTGCCAAAAAGAAACCTTAAAACAGAGAGATTTTTGAGACTACATACACTAGAGTTTGGTTTTAAGCACAGACACCCTTTAACCACTAGGTATTACAATATTGCTATGGTTTTAAGTAGCAGCAGCATGAGTTGAAGCACAGAAAATTTACAGGGAAGGACTGCATTAGCTACAGTTAACAGTTGGATAAAATCCCTTTAATCATCTTTGTCTTTAAACAAGGCCTGAAAGCCAAGCCATATCAGTCAATCGACTTGAAGCTTTGATGCAACAGAAGCTTTAGATGATTTTTTTTTAGAAGCACACATTGCATTTAGAGAATTAGAGATCAGGAATCAGTCGTATTTATGCAATTATCTGTCCTTCAGCCAGTGCACTTAAATTACAGAATATCATAACAACAATGGCTGCTACATTTTAATCTAAACCCAAAGCATATATAAAAAATGCAGAGGCAATACACATTCCTTAGACTGTGATAGCCAAGGAACCTCACCAGCTGTTTCTGGTTAAAAAGGAGACTTGAAATGAATGAGGGGAGGGCATCAATCCAATTGTTAAAAGAAAATGTTTAGATAACTGTGAGGACATCCTGTAAAAATGCCCGTAATTTCAGCCTTGCCTGGGAGGTGCACTGGAATCAACCTTTCAGTGGCTGATGCAGGAACTAATTTAGCAGAGTTGCTATAAAAATGTCAGGATATGAGCATCATATCAGAGAAAGAGAAGAAACTTTGCAGGACAAGCTAGTATAAGGAAGCAAGCCAATTGAGCAGGAGAGTATTTCTATTCCCAAAAACAATACTTCATCTTTCATCAGTATTCCTTTAAAGGGCATTAAAACAGACTTTTAAATAATCCACAGTAAACAGTTTTAAACTACATTTTATTGTAGTTACTACACGTTCAGCAAGTGTTTCTGAACACTACCATCCTAGTTAAAATTCCACTAATATAATTTAAATTGAATGTCAGCAAAAAGTTTGCTTGGTTTGTTTTACTCTGAATTTGCTCAGGGAAAAAAAAATCACCCAAATAGAAATGTGAAGACTACAACAGTTTTTAATTTACCTCTGCCTAATAAAATATACTTTTATTTTTCAATAAGCTATATATTATTTTCTCTGGCACACCTGGAGGGTTTGAATGAAGTCACAAGGAGCTAATTCTTCTTCAGCTACCAGGAGATGAAATTCTTCAATATTCACAAAGTAATTAATTTAATTTTTCCTCATACAAGTTGGCCTAAAGCTCTGACATTTGACCACAGAATTTCAGCTATGATTTAATTTCCTACTTAAAATCTCATAGTGGTTTGGAAAAAAAAATGGTCTGAGACAGTGTAACACAAATCAAATCCCTCTGGTACTCAAAACACAAGCAGCTTTGGCTGTAGAAGACACCACCACAAGTCTTAATCTTGTGGCTCTTGCACTCAAATTCCAAGTTTCCAGCCACCATTACTGCTGGGTAAACCAACAGGAAGACAATGATTTAGCCACACCAGTCAGGAAGTAAATGCTGCACCAGCATACTTTTGAACAGAACTTTCTACATTTAATACCTGAAAAGCAAATAAAAAGCAATACATATTTATTTTTTTTTTAGACACCTCTAATCTCTTGAGTTATTAATCTAATTCCTGGAGTCTACCTAGTTCTCCCTATGATATTTCTGATTAAGTAGTTATTATGTATCAGTATTGTCAACCAAGCCCAAGGTACAGGTGAAAGAAGGCAGTGCTGGCAGTTCTTGTACAGACATCTACATCGCTGTCCATCAGCGAGATCCCCCACTGAAGAGAACTGCACCAGGCAGGTCTTCTCACTCTTAACCAAAATATGTTAGAATGCAAAAAACATTCAAAAGCTTTTTTTCAGAAGAAAACTTAAAGTGAAGCAGCTTTCCTGGTGCAGTGCTTTTCATTTACAATTAGATAAAAGTTCAGCCTATCTTTGAATACATTAATTCCCCCCAACTAATTTTAAATACGATGATACATAGAGAGTATGACAATTGTTAAAATAGAGATAAGCAAGTTTCCCAGATTTCCTCATATCTAAAGAGATAAGTATTTTAAGGAAACACTGAGGTGAAAATATTAAAATTGAGTATTGTGAAAATCGACCAGGCTACAAAGTAGTATGAAATATACAGCACTGCAAAATTAAGCATTCGCATTAACTTCCTGTAGAGCATTATTTTATACCACCTCAGGAAAATTATATTTGACATCCACAGTTTAAGATCAACTGCTTGGTTAGCTTACTTCAAAATAAAATTAACAAAAAGGAAAAAAGAAAAAAACACCAACACAAAACCTAGAAGTCAAAGGTTAGCTAAGCTCCGCTAAAACTCCCAGCATGTCAACCACTGCTTTTCCCAGATCTCCCTCTGAAGCAATGCCAAGAACGTGGCAATCAGCAAGCCTGAATCCTATTATGCTCCAGAGCCATTCTACCTGGTCTTCATGCAAGAATATGTCAGATACACCACACTGATTGCTGAATGATAGCTCCAATTTAGGATTAAAAACAAAGACAAATATTCATCACAGCAGCCTCGTAAAATAACTGTGGCTCTGTGGACCCAAAATCACATCAACTTGGTTTTTAAGCAGAAAAAAATATTCCATATTCAGTACTCCAAATATTTGGGCACCACTCATGAGCCAGTCAGTCCTATCACAGAAAAGACATCTCTATTCTACCTTTTCCTCCCACTTGCACAGCAGTGGCCCTGCATTTCAACTAAAGCACAATTTAGACATTTAAGCAACATAAGCACGGGAACAACCATTCTCTGCCTTCAGGAAAAAAAAGGTTAGTAGACCACATGGAAATCCTGGAAATCCACATCCTAGCTGAAAGCAAGCATCATTTCATTTCAAACATGGACTATACTATTTCATCAGTTCACTGGATGAACAATAACAGATAAGAAAAGATATCAAAGTACACCTAGTGTAGTCACTGCTTTGCTGATAAAAATATTTTCAGCAACTAAAAATTCATCTCCTGCTGAAGGCAGTGTAGTTACAATGTCAGGACCATGCATACCACACTACTACATACAGGAACAGCTCTTTCTTCTTCAATTAAACCGAATTTAGCAAGCTATTTCTCCCAGAATTTAAAGACTCCCAGTGTTGATCTTAAGTTCTTCTGATCCAAATTTCTTATAGTAAATTGACAACAAAGTTAGGCCTAGATATGAGAGATCAATATAGGTTCTTAATCAGTATGTGTTCTTAAACATTTTTATGACCTGAATGGTGTATATTCCTGTACATCAAAAACAAAAAGAAAGACTCAGAATCTTTAAAAACTAATATCCCCTCATAACATAAGAGTTTACTAGAGCAGAAACTGTTTAGTCTAAACTTAGTGTTGCTTAAACACTAGTATGTTTTAAGTCACTATCTGTTTTCATAAGTCATTTCTACCTGAGATCAAAATCAATCTAGCTTGATTATAAGGTGTGGAAAAAACTTATTTTCTTCACAGTATGATTTTCATAACTTCTCACTTTTAGTCCTCTACAAAGAAAAGCACTTATTAAGGACTGTTAAAGTGTTCAAGGGAAAAAATTGTTTCAACCTGTCTATATTCAGAGCATGACTCACACAATATATAGGTCTTCTACAGGGCACAGCTGACTTCAGAACTTTAAGACAGCAAGTACGGCCACACTGCATGAAAGCGTCCATCTAGCTCTGGATTTGTCGCTAACAAGAACCTACAACAGACAGCTTGGGGAATAACCCAGGAGCAGGGCACACATATAATGACAGTCTCTCCAATATACAAGTTTCTCCAACTCCATTTGCAGGTCAGCAAATTCCTAATGCAATCAGAGATTGCATCTTTGTATTTTTATAATACTCTGTGACTCCTGTGAGCATCTACACAAATCCCACCTTTCCGGATTACAGAAACTATGCACTTTCCATGAGGCCATAGAGAAATCCAGATACTAGAACAATTTAATTGTAAATAAAATTTAAAGAAAAAAAAGTAGCATTATCCAAGGTCTAGAGAGTGACAGTTAAATAGATAGAGAGATATGTACAATCTGTAGTTCTGCAACTTTCCCACTGCAAAATCCAGCCAATTCTCCTGAATTTCCTGTGAAAATTTTCACTTTTTTAAAAGTAAAGTGAAGGAGTGATTTTTGACTTCTAGGTGGAATGCTCAACTGAAGTAACATATATTAAACAAGTTACCTCTGTGAGGGACCCACAAGGTACTCCACCATGCAAGACTCTATCCAAACTATGCAGCGTGGTGGATAAAAAGGCTGAAGAGGGACTGACAGACTTCCTCAGTTTCATTTCATAAGCCTACAGAAGGAGGGAGGAAAAAAACAAAAGAGAACAAACCAATCAGAAAATGCCTTTTTTTAGTGGAAATAGGAGACTTGTACTTGCTTTCATCAACTTGGTATAACAACAGTTGCCAATGAGCAAAGTACTCCTATCTTCAACTATAGTCTGTTTAGTTCATCACACTTACATCCTATTTATATCTCACTGAGTAAATTTTAAAGTCTTTTTTATTTCCCTCACCACAATATTAAATAATAAGCCTTTAATAACAAAATGACAGAAGTTTTCTCTGTTCCTATTCAAAAAGGTTTGCTTTTAACTCATAAAAATCCAAATTCTAAATAAGTAAACAGTATATGTATGGTTAGTGGCCATTACAAAACCCTCACATGAAATCTAAAAACAAAAACTCCCTCCTCGACGTTCATTACCAATTTGAAACTACGTGGGTTGAAGGAAAGTTTTGCTAAAGAGTCCCAAGTCTTCGAATAAGCCTGTGTAGTACTCTAACCATTCACCATTTTCCACTTTGCCAAAAGAAAATCCAGCCACTGCCTTGCAGCTACTGTGTTTCCTTCTTGCACTCCCCCCAATAGTGTCTTACCTGTAGAGTAAGGCACACTACAGCTCATTAGAAAAAATCCTCAAGAAATTATTTTCAGGATCACTTCACTTCTCGGCACCACTTTTATATCTAAAACCAGTTCATACTGAAATTCTTAGTCTTTTTCTGTATTAAACAACTTGTTGGTTTTTTTAGTTGCAGGATTCAAACTAGAAGCCATTTTTACATGCTGAATTGCAAGAGAGGATAACCTATTTCCCTACTGCACTCAGAACAGATGCTGCAAGCCTGAACAATCTCTTGAGGCTATAGCACCTAATAAATGTAACTGCATCAAACTAAAGTGTGTCAGAGATATAAATTTAAAACCAAAAATACTACTTCATTGTGCAATAAAACCAAGATGCTCCATGCCTCCTGGCTAAAAAAATGAGTGACAATGTTCAGGTTTTTCCCTGATATTTTATCAAAAACAGTATCAACACAAGTATACTTACTGTCTGCATTTTGGGAGCACAAGCTCGGCTGACTTTACAAAGAAGCTTCTGCACCTCATAGTAGCTCTGTCCTGTCACTTTCATTAGCTCCAAGAGGGAAAGACATAAAAAGTCCTGAAAGACAATAAAGGAGTTCAGAGAGCTCAACCTAGGAATCCAGGCTGGGGACTAAACTGATGCAATCTATATACAACTGGTACCCATTCCACAGGTTTACCAACTCTGCCATGTCATACACTATTATGCTGTATCTCTCCTACCTTTTCCTCATACAGTATACTAAAAGAAGTTGTATTCACATTTTAAAAGACATGGAATAAGAGGACCAACCATTTAAGATCTGTGTGATGGAACTGCAACAAGATAACACCTTTTTGCCCACCTGAAACACATTAAAAACAAATTTAAGTCTTCCAAATTGCAGTGCTAGGCAGAGATTCTGTATATATGATGCATATTGCTGAAATACATAGGGCCTCTTGGCTCATGGACAGCTTCTTGTCCACCAGGGCCCCCTCTCTGCCCTGGTGAGGGGCAGAGCTGTTCTCTGCAGAGCTGCTTCCACAGCTTCCCTACATCCACAGGGGTAGTAAGTCCATAAAAGTTTAAATGTTTTAGTTAGGTATCTATCATTTTAAAGCTCTATTTTTACAAAGCAGCAGGCCAGATGGTGTCTGAAATGCCCCCTACTTCACAGAAAGTAAAGCTTCCTGTTTAATTACAAAAAAAGTGAACACCACATGCATTAAAACAACACAAACACACACAAAAAACCCACCACTAACATAAAAACCAACCACAAACATACCCCGTAAACAAATTAACATTTTCACCTGACAGGTAGTGATCTGACAGCGACTCAGCCTCTCACACAGGTCCTGAGACAACTGTGCTCTTCTTAGTTTCTTAGCAGCCATGCTCCTCAACCTGCACAGCAAACAAAAAAAAAATTTTGAAAGATGATTTGAATATGACTGTGCAATTTCACTCACTCTTTGCTAAAGAGCAGGAAAGTGTGCACCCCTGTGCATATATATAGGTATATATAAATGATACAATGTGATACAGATTTCCCCCGTAAGTCTGCATCACATTAAGTTATATTACCACTCTGAAAGCACTTTTGTTGAATTACATCTCCTCATATTTGACCACGTATGAGATCATGCCAATCAGAATCAAAGAGTCAGCACTGTTTATAGGGCAGGTGTTTCTGGGATGTAAGAAAGCTGGAAATTACTCAGTCGTGAGCTGAATAAGAACTCCTCATGCTATACTGCACTGGAAAGAAATGAGTTATCTTTGGATGCCTGAACATGAATTGTAGAGCAACCACAGTAAGCACTCAGCCCTAGAACATATATTGCTAGAACACACACTCAGTTCTGGTCACCCAGGATTCGTGACAGGTGTTAAAAGAACAAAAAGCCTGAAGGGCTGGAAAGATACTTTAGCATGCAAGAGTCAAGATGATCAGTCAAACCATCTCATAATGTTCTGTGTACACCTTACAAACCAAACACACTCAATAAAGAATTCTTTAATTTAGCCAACAATGTAAAAGAAACCAGAGACCAAAGCTGAGCATATGAAGAAGATAACTACAACATTATTTATTAAAAAAATGAACAAAAATACCACTGCACCAAGACAGCAACAATTGTAGTACACTGTGATTGAGACCTAAGCAAATTGCATTTTTGAGACTCCTGATTAAAGAGGATCTGATTATCTCAGATAAACCTTAAGACTATTTTATGTAGCAGGTAAGACTATTCCTGCAGCTATGGATCCTTTTCCCCCTCAGTTATGTACATTCGTCCTCTTTTTTTCTGTCATTCCACTCTACTGAACAAAACCCCACGGGATGGTGTTTGGCTCAGTACAACCCAAAACACACATATACGTGTTTTTGAGCACATCGCTGTTTCACACATACTCTTTAGGCAACATTCCTAGTATTAATACAATTAATACAGACATTTAGGCAAGACGAAAGGTTTCATAATGCAGTAAGTGCAAAAATTGTAAATATTTGCCATGATGCAAAACTATTACAGCTTCGCAGACGCGCAGGCCTCCACATCTTCACAAGAAGGAAACTTCATTGCCCCGTCTACAGAAAATGCTCCTTAAACAGGAGGAAACCCAGCCGTCTGAGGCACCCCGGCCGCCCAGCCCAGCGCTCCGGCGCCCCCCGCCCCATCGCCCGGGTCCCGGGATGCGCCTACCAGCCGGAGACCCAGCCCAACCCTCTCTCGCCGCGGGCAGGCACCGCGAGCACCAGAAAAACCGCTCCCGTCGCAAACCACCTCACCCCCGCGTACTCGGGGGCGTCCCGCCGGGCCCCGCCAAGCCGTAACAAAACCCACCCGCCCGCCCTCCCGGGGCGCAGCGCGGGCCCCGCGCACCTGAAAACTATTTTATCAAGCTCCCGCGCGGCGGGCGCGAGGAGCGGACCGTCGGGCCAGACCCTGTTCTCAATTGCTGGCTCCGCCAATCCCCGCGCAAGCGCTGGCGAGTAGCGGCGCGCGGGCATGCCCGAAGAGTAGTTTCGGGGGGGGCGAAGAGGGGGACTCTGGGTCTGTGATGGCGGCGGCTCTGGCCGGGCAGCGCCCTACTGAACCCGCTCCTCTGGGGGGGAAGGAGAGGCTCAAGGGGTGTTCACTGTTCATTCTGCTCGTGAAACTGAGCGCCTCCCCCGAGGCAGGATCCTTGCACGGCGCTTCCGTGCTGTACCCTAGATATTCCTGCCGTCCTCCACATAGAAAGTGTCAATTAACCCCAAAAGTCTCCAGCATGGAGAATGCCACGCTTGCGTTCAGTTGCTGGTAAAGAATATTGGATTGGTGGTTCTCGTCTTCAAACTGAGGGCTTACAGACACCTGGTGAGCTACTCGCTGTGGGAGAAATGCCTTTGGCGCTGAGGAAACTATTGCCCTGTAGCGTGAATCAGAATCGATTAGGTAGAAAAAGACCTCTTGAGATCATCGAGTGCAACCTGTGACTGAACACCACCATGTCAACTAGACCATGGCACTAAGTGCCACATCAAGTCTTTCCTTAAACACCTCCAGAGATGGTGACTCCACCACCTCCCTGGACAGCCCATTCCAATATCTAATCACCCTTTCAGTGAAGAAATTCTTCCTGATGTCCAGCCTAAACCTCCCCTGGCCCAGCCCGAGGCTGTCCTCCCCTGTCGCTAGTTGCCTGGGAGAAGAGACCGGCCCCCATCTAGCTACAACCTGCTTTCATGTATTTGTAGAGATCAATAAGGTCTCCCCTGACTCTCCTTTTTTCCAGGCTGAACAACCCCAGGTCCCTCAACCGCTCCTCATATAAGTGACTCTCTAGACCCTTTACCAGCTTCGTTACCCTTCTCTGGGCTTGCTCCAGCACCTCAATGTCCTTCCTGAATTGAGGGGCCCAGAACTGGACAGAGTACTCAAGGTGTGGCATCGCCAGTGCCAAGTAGAAGGAAAGAATCATTTCCCTAGTCCTGCTGGCCACACTATTTCTGATACAGGGAATGTCTGAGTGTAACAGGTAGAAGCAGTCATAAAACATGACTGACGTGAATGGCTATGGGGCGAGTCCAATTCAATACTAGAAAGTACTGAAGTTAGTACTGTGTGCATATGTTATCTGCACAATCTTTACAGTTCTACAAATTAAACTTAATTGAAGAAAAAAAATGGGCCAATGTTATCTTGGACATCTACTGAGAAGCTGCGCATTGGGAACTGCATGGCCCAGGTTTTGTTTGTTCTGAAAAAGAAATGCCACAGCAAAGCTGCAAAATACAGAACATTTCGGCCACTTTTCTAAATGAGTGATAAGGAGAAACAGGAAGAAGCTATCATGAAATGCCCAAAAATTGTAGTGTCAAAAAGGGTCAGTGCAATCGGGGGGGGAGGGGGCTTACATACCCAAAAGAAATCCAGAGGATATAAGAAGCTAGACAGATATAAGAAGCAGCCCACACAAAAGCAACTCAGAGCTTTAGTGAATAGGTAGCTGAACAGGGAGAGATGGCATAGAGGAAGAGCTCCTCCTAGTGTAGTTGACCTTTAAAAGTTGACTTGAAAAATGTAAGTCACAGCTGAGAAAAACTGTCTAAGGAAAGAGAAAGGATGTCTGTTGCTGCAGTTTAGTTTCCATGTAAACAAGAGGACATGACCATGGTATAACTCGTCATAGACTACTCATGGAATATTTCCTCCTCAATACAGGAGTAGCAGGAGCCTGACCTTCTCACCTGAGGTGCAATAAAAAGGATTGCCTTAATGACTTTTTTTCCTCCCACAAATGCACTGGGGCTTGCCATTCAGCTCCAGGTCCACAGGCTTCCTTTCCACTTTCTACAAAAACAGAATACCTGTATTAAACCAGAGAACTGTTCTGGGATGTTGAGCAAGGGAAGCAAATCTTAGCAGCCAAGAAGTTAAAAAAATTCATGAGCAAAATCAATATACCCTGGTAGCTCTCCTGCAAGTGCTTTGAATCTCATTTCTCGCTGGTGTCATGACTGTTCAACTCTCTGCTTCTCAGATCTGCAGATACACTTTTAAACCTACTGGCAAATAATTGTCCACCGTCTTCTCTGTGTAAATTGAGAGAAATAATATTCAGAGGATAATCAGAGACGTGTTCACATACACACCAACACAGCAGGCAGCTCCACAGCTTCCATATATTTGACTAGGATAGTAGTTGCTAGGGAATCAGGGCCCTCTGCAAACAGCTCTGCTGTGTGACCTTGGTCAAGCTCCTTCACGATAGGGTATCTGTTTTCCTTCTCAGTTTTGCTTTTACCTATTTAGTCTGCAAACAGAGTAAGTAATGCCAACCCAATAGACTTAAGTGTCAGGCATGATACAGCAGAGAACTGCTCTAGTCTAAGCCTTTTGCTGCTTCTGGAACTTATAATAAGAAGGGATTAAAAAGCTAAGATATGATTACTTTATAAGAACTGAGCTTCACCACATTAATTTAAGAAGGTCATTTAACTGGCAACACTGGAGAAAGACACATAGAAAGGCGAAGCATAACAGCACCAGCAAGCTAAGTCTCATAGAAACAGAGTGATCTAACATCAAGCACACCAATTAAAATAAAAAAGGGAATGGTGATTAGCTTTCTAAGGGGCAAGCAAAAAGAGACAGAGTCTGATTTGAAGGGCACATGATGAAATACTTATCAGTTCTTACCCAAATAAATACTCAGCAGTTAGGAATTCTGCAAGTCTAGAATTGAAAAGACAATGGCAAGATTTTTGCTTTCTGGAACAGAATCCACGGAAAAGTTTCTTCCTCAAACCCAAGACAGCCTTTTGTGGGCATTTTCAGATAATAGTTTGCATTCTGGAACATTTCAGGTGATTCATATAATTACTAACACAGTATCAGCTCACTGATACTGACTACAATCCTCAGGTTTATTCCTATTTTCCAGCTATCAATTCTTGCCTTAAAATTAGCAATGTTCCCCTACCCCTGTGAAAGTGTCGCCCCAAAAGAGTTTACTTTAAGAGAATATAGCTGAGAATATAACAATTCTGACTCACAAGGGTAATCCAGATATTCAGAGCAATTCCCCACCTTATGCTTGCTGACTAGTGTCTAATTAGTCTAATATATTCTTTTTCCTTGGGGTTATCTACTTGATGCCTACTACATTCTTTAATAGAAAAAAAATTACTCATAAGCTCCTGAGATTGGAAAACAGTTATAGATCAGTCCCTGCTTTCCTGGGATTAAGGTCCCAAGAGATTGCTCAATAAAAATACACAAAGGAACCTCCAATGAAGTATACTCTCCATTGCTGTCTCCCCAAAGGCGTTGGAGATTTACTTCCAATCCTTTGAGGTTTCCCCATCTCAAAAAAAGAAATTCAAAGGATGTCATAAGGAGGCCTGCACCCTGGTTAAAAATGGTTTATATTCCATGCCATCCATACGAGCACAGCTTTAGCAAAGCTCCTTCAACTTGAGATTTTGCCAGCCACATCTGTTCCAGGGGTGAGATGGAGGGAAAGGAAACCATCTTTCTGTTGTTTCTACAAGCTGTTCAGCAGAACCTTGCTGTCATCATCTGCTATAATAAACAAATCAAGAACAGACCTGTGAAAAAGTAGACCATCTTTTTATTCTTATTCTCCCCCTCCCCAAGTCCTCTGAACAGTCGATGGACCAGATAAATGCTTCTCCCTAGAAAATTAATCTTTTTCCTCCTGCTCAGGAGGAAAACCCAATTATAATGAATCCTCTCAGGTATTAGTGAAGACCTGTCTCACCACACACCTTTACACCCAGAAAAAAGAATATTTTTTTCTCAAGACAGGTAGAAGACATTTCTCTGTTTTCTGCCTCTTCACGCATCCTCCTCTGAATCCAGAATTATTCATCACCCCCAAAACTATTTCAGAAATATTCAGCATCAATGTAGAATTTTTTTGAAATGGAGCGTCTGTACCTCCTACCCTTTTTACAGAAAAGCAGACTAGCCACATTCACTGCTATTGCAGGCAGAAGGGCAGACCCACCTGCGCACTATAGCTTTGAAAAATTCAGCTGCATTTGCTTTCAGCCCAAACTACTACAAATGAAATGAGAGACTTCAGGGATTATTCCACTTTTAGCCTGTACTCATCTAAGAAGATTACCTTCCAAGATCAGCTTCCTACTTCATTTAGCTTTTTCTTGTTAGAGCAACAGCAGGAGTCATTCAAGTCTTTGGGCTTTTTATATTTCCCATTAAGTTTCTGTTAGATGAGAAGCCCATGAACTGGTACAGCAGCAACCTAATAATCTATGTGGAGTTGTTTTTACCACTGTTTCGACAGTGCCTTACTCTTTTTTGCTGCCTTGTCTTGAGTTTCCATTTACTGAGGTTTCTGCAGTTGTCCCAGTAGTGCTCTCTGCAGTCACCAGGCCCTGCCACTCTTGGCACAGAATTTCCTGCAGCTTTCCCTGTGAAAGCAACAAATATCACAGCAGCAGGCCTTTAGGAGCATTGCACAAAGCAGGTAATATCTGACAGAGGTAATCCTTAGGTTCCCCACTGCAGCTTTTTGTTTCTGAAGCATGGAAAAACTGCAACACACCCTATTACTCAGAAACTGGAGCTATGTTTAGACTTTTGTCCTGT